TTTGGGTTTGTACTCAGGTTCCCAATCAAGATCACACAATAAATCAACATGTTGGATTTATCTCTATAAGATTTATCCAGATTGTGATATTGGATATCAATATATGTTTTATTTCGGCCCAAAGCCCAACAACAATTTATTTTAATCAAAACAAATTTGATTAATTGAATAATTATTCATTAATAATTCTAGGGTATGTATATATAAACCGTATATATAATATATATTATACTCCAAAATATTTTATTTTACTATTTTACAAATATACAAATTACTTATTATCCCATTGTTTAATCTCACTCCTTAAATTGTCCAAAGTGTGTGACCCATATAGGCACTTATAAAGCTGGCCACAGTATTGGCTCTGCACCAATACTATAAGCAATAAGCGGTATCTAGTAACACATTATTGCCCCCAGATTATAAGTTAAGACGTTTGCACCGTCAAAACCTTTCCACGACTCGCACTCCGTGTAACTGTATCCCTTTGTCTCAATGTCTAAACTTAATGCAAGGGATTAATAAAATCCAGCTTGTATCCATTAAGTCATTCACTGATTCATCAAGTCTAACTGATAGGAACGGACGTCATAAAAGCATCTCAGCATGGCCATGCAATTTCCTCAATCATAACTTATCAGTGGGCCCCAAAAGACATTAATCTCTTTAAAAAAGAGTAGTGACAAATCCTATGTACGTAATCCACGTTTCTGAATACGCGCTGCGGCATACCCAAAACAAAGCTTGTATACCATCCTTATTTCATATGGCTTAGGACAATGCATCAAAGTATGCGGGTTCACATATGCAGAAAACCTAATACTTCAAGTCGAAGGATAGTTACACCCGTGGTCGCGCTAAAGATGCTTAGAGCATGAACTAAAAGTTCAAGCAACATCTTTAGGATGGGTTAGTCCGGCATCCTATTATCTCCAGATAATATCTGCCATGTGCGGATGCGAACACACCGTCATTGGCTATGAGACTAAGTCAAACATCCAACACACACTAGTCTCACATGCATTAACGATATCCCACTCTCGTTAATACTCGACTATGGACATTTAGATAAATATTTATTTCAAGATGTTAGTCTCATCAGCAGAATAACACTATCTGATTAACATCTTTAAATATAAATCTAGGAATATAATATTTATTTACATTAGCATGAGATGTGTAAACATATTATATCTGCCTATTCATGATAGAATAACGATAAACAGTTGGCCATCAAGGCACAACTCCAACAGATTTTGGGTCTGTACTCAGGTTCACAATCAAGGTCACACAATAAGTGAACATATTGGATTTATCTCTATGAGATTTACCCTGACTATGATATTGGATATCAGAACATATTTTATGTTGGCCCAAAGCCCAACAATAATTTTTTTTAATCAAAAAAAATTTGTTTAATTGAATATTTAATTCAATAAATATTAGGGTATGTTTTGACGCGTTACAGGGTGTGTGCGGCAAATCAAATGTCTCGCACCCTCTACCAACTGATAATCTTTCTGGGGTATTACTAGCCAACCATCGTGCAAGAGTGCGAGAACTATACACAGAAGTGTTCTATATGCATCCGAATAGGTCGGAAACCTACTACCACCTCGTGCCAAATGTTATCCCCTTTGCTTGATTCGGGGTGGATATCGTAGGGGCCTTTCTCGATAGCCCAGGGGAGGAAGAAGTTCATGATCGTAGCGGTTGATTACTTCACAAAGTGGGTGGAGGTTGAGGCACTGGAAAACATCACCACGCAACAATGCTAGAAGTTTATATAGAAGAACATCATTACGAGGTTCGAAGCGCCTAACAACCTGATCACCAACAATGACCCATAAATCAGAAAACCAAAGTTCACCGAATATTTGGAGAGCTTCAGCATCAGAACAACCACTCTTCGGTGGCCAACCCCCAAGGGAACAACCATGTGGAAAATGCAAACAGAACCATAGTGGATGGCCTGAAGAAGCATTTGGGGGAAGCAAGAAACAAATGGCTGGAAGAGCTCCACATATCGGGTATGGGCATACCGCATCACCCCTAGGCGAGCCCATAGGAAGACACCCTTCTCTCTGACCTATGGGTGCGAGGCAAGGCTACCTATTGAAACAAAATTTTTGACCTTCAGGGAATTAAACTTTTACCAGGAGCAAAATGAGGAAGATCACTTGGCACAACTCAACCTGTTAGCAGAGCGGAAGATGGGTATCGAAGTCAAGATGAGCGGGTACTAGCAGTCGGTCAAGAAGTATCATGACAACAAAGTTGTTCCTTGATACTTCCAGATGGGTGACAAGGTTCTCGAGCGCAAAGAAGCTAGCAGGCCAAGCGAGGAAGGCAAGCTTGCAAAAAATTGGGAAGGACCGTATCAGGTCAGTGCGGTGATACGTCCGGGAACCTACGAGCTAGAGATGCTGGAAGGAAGAATGATCGAAAGGTGCTGGAACTCGCACCACCTCAGAAAATTTTACAAGTAAATGTAGTTCTTGGAATCACTTATTTCATAACAAAGATTGTTGGGAAAAATATTATAGATTTTGATGATAATGTATTTAGATTGTAATAGGGATTTTATGTTGGAACACGAGTTTACGCCTATGTCGTACTAAGCCGTGCTCGCTTTATGACAGGTTTTGATAATGCCAAACCGCCGTGACAATAACAAGGTTAAACTGAGCAAAACCAAGGAGAAGGAACATGGCATGAGAACCAAGAACCAAGAATCAAGAACGAAGACTTAGAATTATTGAGTCGGTTTTAATGTGATCAAGACCGGCACAAACCTTCAAAACATGGCTCTCTAGGCTCATTTCATCAAAATATTTTTTGCATATTCAAAATGATTTTCTTAAGTCTTAAACCTGCTTGAAAACACTTGGAGTTCGCCCAAACCAAAAACCAAGCCATCCGGCGTTCGGTCTTCGGAAACCGGCGTTTGGCTTTCGGTTATCGGCGTTGGTTTTTGGCGTTCGAACCAACCAAGTGGTTTTCAACTTTTAATGATTAGTTTTTAGTTCTGGGCATATTTAAATAGTTCTCCAACAAAAACGCTTCAAAAACCACTTTCCGTTTTTGGTCGTTTAGTGAAAACCATGCGAAACGGCACGAACTTGGTTAGTCGTGGTCTTCAACTAAATGACGTGGTTTTTAAAATGTTTTACTTGATTTCTTAGCAAAATGCAATAAACAAATCTTTTCAATACTTGGTTTTTACTTTGGAGAACTTGTGTTTTTGACATCGGCTAACGGCGTGACTAAACAAACCATGGGTCTGGCTAAACCAGCCCAACAGCGATGTGGAGGTAACCAACATCGCTGTCTGGCTTGGGTAGCAAAAAACATGGTTTGGCATTAAGTCCTCCAACATCGATGTTGGACATTAGACATCGCTGTTGAGCCAAGGTTGGATTTCCAGAAACTTTTGGAACAGCGATGTAGGCTTCCCTACAGCGCTGTCCAACCTAAGCCAAAGATATTGTGCATTGGCAGAAAGTTTTTGGACAGCGATGTTGACCCAGAAACAGCGCTGTCAGGCCAAACTTCCATCTTCAAAGGCAGACCTAAACAGCGATGTTCTAGTATAGAACATCGTTGTAGAGACCTGACCGTTGGAAGGGATTTAAGGCTAAAACTTTCCTTGTTTGGAAGTCAACAGCCAAAACAGCGATGTAGGGATTTTAGACAGCGCTGTTGGCATGACCGTTGCTTCCCATTTTTCAAAACGCAAGCCTAGAATAGCGATGTCCAAGCCTAGGACAGCGCTGTCTAGGTGAATTTCAACAGATCCAAATTTCATCAAATCCCACAAATTGTGCCAATCACCCCTTAAATACTTTGGTCCGTTGGAGCCTATTTTTCTACTATAAAATGGGGTGTTTGGGTCTGTTTTACAAAAAAAAGACATTACTTCACAACTCCTACTCTTTCATTGCAAATCATTCTTCAATTATTCATAGCTTTTGAGAGCCATTCTTTTGTGAAGCTTATGTTGTGTTCTTGAGCGTTCTTAGTTTACTCATTATCCACTCTAAAAGAGAGTATTGTTCTTCAGTGTTTTTAGTGTTCTTAAACACTTGACAAGAAAAGGTATTTCTCTTGTTGTTCGAAGGAAGGGTTGTTTCCTTCGAAGGTTCGTTGAGGTTCGTGTGACTCGAATTCTCAAGTTGTACGGGTTTGTTAAGCACCGTTAAGCTTAACGAGGTAGTAGTGTAGCTCGAGAGAGTCTCTCGGGAGGCTGGATTAGCCACAAGTTGTGGTGAATCAGGGTAAAATCGGTGTGCCTCTTACTCTTCTCTTTATTTCTCGTTTATTCATTTTTTATTCCTGCGATTTTTGATCAAACGCTATTCACCCCCCCTCTAGCGTTAGTCTCTTATTCTAACAATTGGTATTAGAGCCTAACTCGCGTCCAAACTTAACCGTTTGAGAGTAAAGCGATCATGGGCTCTTCTTCTAGAAATCTCTATGCAGGAATTGGAGAAGGTCAATCAACTTCTAGGCCACCACTCTTTGATGGCACCAACTACTCTTATTGGAAGGAACGCATGAGAATCTACATTCGTTCCACCAACTTCCAATTATGGTTGGTGATCAAAAATGGCGAAGAAATCCCTATGAAGAAAGTGGGAGAAACCACGGTCCCAAAGACCGAAAACGAATTTGATGCCGAGGACATCAAGAAGATTGAAAACTATGCAAAGCCCATCAATATGCTATATTGCGCGGTCAACCCCGATGACTACCGAAAGATCTCCTGTTGCACAACTGCCAAGGAGATGTGGGACAAGCTTGAAGTGACGTACGAAGGTACCGATCAAGTTCGCGAAGCCAAGATCGATTTTCTCACCCAAAAGTACGAAATGTTCCGGATGAAAGAAGGTGAGAAAATTGACGACATGTTCGACCGGTTTTCAAAGATCATTAACGACCTTCATGCTCTCAAAAAGACTTACACCAACAAGGATCTCGTGAGGAAAATCCTGCGAAGCCTCACACCCGAATGGAGGTCAAAAGCCGACGCAATCTATGAATCCATTGGAGTCTCCAACGTCACCATCGACGGGCTAAGAGGTAACCTTAAAACCTATGAATCTACTATTCTAACCCCGTCTTTGGATGAACAAAAGAAAAAGGGGATAGCTCTGAAAGCCACCAAGGAACCGGTGGAAGAGGCTTCAAGGGATGACGACAATGAATTCGGGCTCGTCATCAAGAAGTTCCACAAGTTCATGAAGAAGGAATTGGAGCGGAAGGGAAGGAAGCACGACGGTCCTCCCAAGTGCTACGGCTGTGGCGAGATTGGCCACATCAAGCCAAGGTGTCCAAAGGCCAAACACGGCAAGGATAAGCCTGGCTTCAAGAAGCAAAGGGCCTACATCTCTTGGGGTGGCGATTCCGGCGACGAAACAACCGACCAAGAGGAGGACGAAGCTGCAAATCTCTGCCTCATGGCGCACGAAGATCAAAGCGACGACGTCCAAGAGGTATGTAACATTTCTTCCGACTCTTACACTTTTGAAGAAATGCAAGAAGCACTTCATGAACTTTATGAGGAATTTGTTAGCGCTTCTAAAACAAATAAATCCCTAAAGAAACGACTTTCTTTACTTGAAAACGATTTTGAAAAATTGGAAAAAGAAAATGAAATACTTAAACAAGAAAACAAATTTTTTAGAAAAAGAAGCGCTGACAAACCAGAAAGCTCATCGAGTGAATGTGGGTCTTGCAAAACTTTAAAAGAGCATGTCGCTAAACTTGAGAGCACGGTCAAGAAATTTAATACTCCTCACAAAGACTTAAATTTACTTCTTGACACTATGCATTTTTCTAAGGAAGGAATAGGTTTTGATAAAAATAAAGCTAAAGATAATTTTGAGCCACCACCTAAACAACCATCTAAGGTTCAACATAAGAAACCTAAAAAAGAAGATAATAGAAAACCTAGGCAACCGAAGGACACTAGACAACCTAGACTAAAACCTAGGAATGAAAATGGTCATAGTAGACAACCTAAGAAAAATGATTTTGTGCATAAAAATGAATTTTCTCAAATAAGAAGAAATAATGCTAGAACACCTAGAAGAGGCCAATTTCAAAATTTCCAAAAACCATCATTTTCACCAAATAGGAACAAAATGGTTAAACCTTCTAACTATTATGAACCTAGGCACATGTACAACCCCAATGTAGTTTGCCATTATTGTAATAGGATAGGCCATATTGCTCCCGTTTGTTACACTAGGCATAGGCACCTATCACAAAATCAAGCACACTACCATTACACACCTAACACCCGAGGACCCAACTTAAATTGGGTACCTAAAACTCATTGATGTGTTTCATAGGTGTGCTTGAAGGCATCAAGTGTACTTTGGTACCTTGATAGCGGATGCTCCAAACACATGACCGGGGATGCATTCAAGTTTCTCCAAATCAAACCCGCTAAAGGAGGAAACGTAGTTTTTGGAGACAATAGCAAGGGAAAAATTATCGGCGTTGGTTCAGTAGGTAAATCTAAAAACTCCTCTATAGATAATGTCTTCCTTGTTAAAGGTCTCAAACACAATCTCTTGAGCATAAGTCAATTATGTGACAAGGGAAACCGTGTGACTTTCGATTCAAAATCATGCACGGTAGAACGCCTTAGTGACAATAAGGTCATTCTACGTGGTGATAGAATCGATAACATTTATATGGTTAACTTAGACAAATCTCCTTCCGACTTTGCTAAGTGCCTCATGAGTAAAGAGGAAGACACTTGGTTATGGCACCGAAGGGTAGCTCATATGAACATGAACCTTTTGAACAAATT